GGGGGGGGGGGGGGCAAATCTGTTCTATTTCGCATAGTTGGAAATTTTGACCCTTTGCGCATTGTAGTAAAGAGAGTATTACTTTATGTTATAGCCTGTTTAGACGTGCTTCTAAAATCAGCTAAATTTAGAAAGTGCTTTTCAAAAAAAGTACTTTTGGTGAGAAGCAGTTTCTGTTTCGCTAATCAATTTGAAAAATACTTTCGAGCAACAATTAGTGTTTGGCCAAGCTTTTAGGAAATGCTTCTAAGTATATATTTTTTTTCAAAAGTGCTTTTGGGGAGAAACTACATTTTTTGTTTCTCAAAAACTGCTTTTGCTTCTACTCAAAGCATTTTTTTTCCTTCTAAAAGCTCGGTGAAACTTTGAAAAAAATACTTTTAGCAAAAAAAAAAAAAAAAAAATACTTTTGGCCAAAAGAAAGAGCTTGGTGTCTATACTAAGATTTAAATTTTTAGTTCTGCACATTTCAAACTATTGTTGGACACACTATTCCACAAAATTCAAAAGGGAGAAGGGTCAACTTTGGCCCTAAACTATGCGAAAGATTCAAATTTGTCCTTCGTTTAAAACAATTATGACTTAATGTGAGACATGTGGCATCACGATGTCCTAAGCTTCCGTTGTTTGAAATCAAGGCAAATCTAGCCCATTTTGTAACAGTGAGGGCACATTTGACTCTAACTATTAATGGAGCGAAGATTTGTTCTATTTCGCATAGTTCGAGGGCAAATTTGACCCTTCTCCCTAATTTATATGACCGTGATTGAGTAGACTCAGAGGTATGATGTTATTAACTCTATGCATTACATTAGCGATAAAAAATATTAATATCATGGTTGAAAACTTATTTTTTTGGTGAAACTTACATCGAAGTTCTACATTTTGCATAGTCAAAGGAATTTTAAACTCTTTTAAAGCTGTAAAAATATTGTTACCATTGGAATGGTTACTAGATTTAGAAAAGTCCAAAAGTAGAAGCAGTGACATAAATTAGAACTAAAGGAGTATTAATTTTTTTTTTAGATTGATGTATAGGTTTTTCGTCTTTATTTACTTGCGTTACAATTGTGTCGGTGAGCATTTCTGGGGAAACCTTCCATAGAGATGTTAAAAGTTTAATGGAAACCTACCAACAGACATGTAGGTAAAATATATTTTGTTCCCGCCTTATGCATACTTTTACGTTTCCTTTGTGAAAGTAAAGTAGAGGAGGATCACTGGAAGATGTTTGTGCCATTTTGCTATATTGCTATTTTCCATTCTCAATTTTCAATGTTTTGTACTTCCTTTTGGTTCTTCTTTTTTTCGTCTTCCTATTGATGTTTTTACTTTGGTGTCTGTTAAGTATGTGTTGTATAGTCTGGAAGCAAACTTAAGTGCTATGGATTTCCTTACGAACCTTTATGCAAGTAAAAGCATGATATCTGGATTTGGCATGTTTGTTGGGCGTGTTTTAGATGGATTTCTTTTTGTGACCATGCACGTGCATTCTTATAGTTCTGATGTATAATATGTGCAATTCTCATTTGCTCTGGCACCAACGAAGTACCTTTAGACTCAACCAATTATGTCTGAAGTACAAAATAATGCTTTGAAGATTACAAGTGCTAGAGGAACAAAAGGAAAAGTGTCATCCATTCGCAAACAGCTCGAAAAACTTGCAAATGGTCCATCAAAAACTTCCATACCACCAAACAAAAGGGTTGTGCATGTCTGAAGTAACTAAATTTCTCTAGCCCCATCCGTATGTCATGCTGAATATCTGAAGTCTGCCTCCACAACTAAAAATCCACATCAATGGAAGTTCTTTAGCGCTCTGCGCATCACCTTGACAAGAACCCCACTCACATTGAATAAATGAGTATCAACTATCTCTTCATTTTCTTGTGGAAGACCTAGCCAGAGAAAAGCGAGGCCTATGTGTTGCCCTTTCTCACATAGAAGTCTCATAAGAGGATCTTAGCCAAAAATAGTTGTTGTTTTAGGTATTACAGACTAGTGTGTTATTATTCGAAGCCTAATTCCTTTTTAATAAGTTGAAGAAATACACTGGCGGATTCGTTTTTTCAGTCACGAGCTGCCCGCATGAGCACAGTCCCCACTACCAACCTCAAACGAATATTTGAAATGTTTGTCTATCAACATTCGAAATTGTTAACCACAAATTTTATTGATGCAACATAACATCCTTGTATCATTTCTCCTGCCAGATGCGTCCATCACCAACCTGATAAAAAATTTAGTAGTAAAGAATAGTTCCTATAGCTGTAAATCTCCTCGATTCCTTTATGAATTTGTGAAATTTCTGATTCCACAATCCAAAATAAAAAAGGGAACATATAAATTTATAGTGTTGGTGTGCTTGGATCTATAGTTCGGACTTCGGATAGTAACCAATCATGTAGAGTTTGCTGTAGCTTTCTTTCATCTAAGGTCTAGAGGTTTTTTTCGCTTTCTATTTTTTAATAAAGAGTTTTTTGGATGTAACACAATAGTTAAACATAGTTAAATAAGATATGCTGGGATGAAGCTGATCCGTCCACCTTTCATCAATGATTTCAAAAACTTTCCCATACTTCCTCTTGTCATGACAAATGCCTTCTCAATAGCTTCTTTAGCCCTATCCATGGCTTCATAAATGTATCCATTGGTGGTTTTCTCTCCCCATCCACCAAATGAAGTACAATAACCAAAAGATTACCAACTTTAAGTGCTTGAACAATGTCATTCCAAAAATATGGACCAACAATATATCTCGCAACTTCTTTCCCAAGTGCTTCCTTTGCATAGGTACTCTCACTCCATTAGGTTGACATGAACAAGGTTCACAAATTTTTCTTTTGCAAGTAAAAACTATGCAAAGTCATGATAGCTGTTGTGAATCTTGTCTTAGTCGGTTTCACCAAATTTCTTTGGTTTGTGTATCTCCTCATCTTGTTCAACAACAACGGCCTCTGACTATGTAAAATGTATCTTGGCTGCCTTAGGAAAAACTGTAGGAAATCAAATTTCATAGTTAGTAAGTATAAACAATTAACATCAAGGTTAAAATAAAAATTTAGAACCACTTGTTCACCTGTAGAATGTGGGGCTAACTTCAAAATGTCACCAAACATCAAGTTGATACAATGTGTAGCACAAGGAGTCCAAAAAATATTCGGGAAAACTCCTTTCAACATGTCACCCGCTTTTTTATTCTCATTTGCGTTATCGGTAACAACTTGAACAACATTTTCCCTTCCAACTTTCAATATTGTCTTCTCAAACAAGTTGTACATTTTATTGAAATCGGTTGAGGAGTCACTAACATCATAAGATTCAAGAAACACACTACCATTCGGAGAATTCACCAAAACATTAATGATCATTTTTTCAATTTTTGCTGTCCATTTATCCATCCTAATGGAACATCCATAAGTTTTCCATTGCACCTTATGCTCCTCGACAATCTTGTTTGTCTTCTCCACCTCCTTTTTTAAACAAGGAACTCTTACTTCGTGATAGGTAGGGGGCTTCATTCCTGGGCCATATTGGCCTACGACCTCAATGAATTCACCAAAACTATCGGCGTAATTTACACAATTAAAAGGGAGCCCCGCATCATACATTGCCTAGCAAAAGCATCTATAGCGTGCTCCCTTAAACTCTTCCGACAAGAATTTAAGTCAACAGCTTCACCTTTTCTCTTTTCATTTGATGTTTGCGAGAAATAAAGATTAAGAGGACCTTTCACATTGCTACCGGTGGATGATCCACTTCCCCTTGCTGAATTCTTTCTTTGAGATTTTGAGGGAGGTGGCCTCATTGATATATTATTGACTTCAAGGTCATCCTCATCCATTTGACTATCTTCATCAAGAAGATTAATCGATGCTCCATGGCTCATTGGATTTTTGAACTCATTTTTTTCGCAACATACTCTCTAATTTCTTCCTTAACAGAATCCGAAACACTTGAACATTCTTTTGACATCTCTAAACCACCAATTAGATGTCTCTTGTGACGATGTATTCCACCGTTATCTATATTTTGACAAAAGATACACTGCACTCTTGTGCTACTGCCAATTGCAACTCCATACGCCCAAGCTGGTTTTTTTTTTGGGCTTGGTGCCATTGAATAATAAGATTGAATTTACTACAATCAACAACCAAAAAAAAAACAGAACTGTTAAACAGCGAACAGTGAACAGAGGGCTGATCAGAGAACAGAGAAAAACAACAGAAATTTAAAAAAAAAGCAGAGCACAAGCATAAATTAGAAAACAGGGCTGAACAGAGAAATACGTTCTGAAAAAAATAGAAAAGAAGAAGAGAACAGTGGAGAGGAGTCGAACACTGAACAGTGAACAACAGAAATTAAAAAAAAAATTAACAGAGCACAAGCATAAAATAGGGCAGAACAGAGAAATAAAAACTGAAAAAAATAGAAAAGAAGAAGAGAAAAAGCAGTCGAACAGTGAACAAGCAGAGAAAATCAGAGGAGGAAGAGAAGAGAAGAAAGAACTGAAACAGAAGAAGAGAAACTTACTCGAAGAGCAGAAGAGAAGTCGAAGGTGTAGTCGTCACTTGCAGCAGAGAAACAGATGTGTGGAAGTAGTGTGCGTAAGTGTATTTGCAATTTTTTTTTAAAAACCCTAGGCTCTAGACCTCGTTTAAGCGAGCTTTTGTGCGCTTTTTTTATCGCCTCGCTTCTCGCTTTTTAGGGTGAAGCGTGCGCTTATTTAACAGCGTCGCGCTTTAGGGCAGAAAAGCGCAGGTCCCTCGACTCGCCTCGCTTCTGCCCTTTAAGCGAGAAGCGTGCGCTTTTAATAACACTGCGATGCGCTAAACTCCCGTTATGTGGGGTGGGGGGTTAGGGGAAGGGCCTGACCACATTGGGTCTCATGTACACTGCCTTAGTTATTCTGCATGTCAATGTTGATAGTTCTTAGTTATGTCTAAGTGAACCTTCAGTTGTTTTTGCCTTTCATTTTTTCTGCTGTTACTAGTCGTCTGTTATATGACATGGTGAGAAGTTACATATCTAGCTTGACAACGATGCTTCTGTGGGCCCAAGGATAAACCATTAAGAGGTTGTCAAGTATCAAGAGGAAAGACTTTTTGTCTAGATACTTTAGTTATCTCATACACATTTAATTGAATGAATAATCTAAGATCATTTTGTATAACTGTTAATAATTGGGTCAGTCTGAATCTTGCCCAAACATGACACGCTGTGTTGTTCTGGGCGCGCCTTCTATTTTTCTAGTTCTTTTATACTTCATGTAGGTGCATGTGGTTATGTAGCTGACTGGAAATAGCTTGCATTATTATATAACTGAACCAAGCTAGCTTGGACAGAGGCTTGTATGATTAATTGATATTTAGTTGCCCATTGTTTTGAGTGATTTACAGACTCGCTATGATTAACAGGTGGACTCCTGACTAACAGATTCATTTTTCCTTAAATCTTCTTCCAGTCTGAGGTTTTTGCTGTTGCATTCGCTCTGCTTGCCGCTGGTGCTGTCGTTCTGACATTGAATGTCCTGTTGCTGGTAATGACTCTTTCTCAACCCATCCATCTATATGAATAAGGGCAAAAGAGAATAACAAAAGAAAATGAAACACCCTAAAGTTGGGTATGTTTAATGATTTTTAGGCAGTTAGTAGACATGATAACAATGCAAAGAGATATGACATATTTAATGGATAGGGGAAAGGATAGCTAATTAGTCCCAAGGAACACAAGTCCGTAGGCACCTGTCAGAAAAGGAAAACCATTCTATAGGCGCTTGTGAGAAAAGGAACCCAGTTCTTAATCTTATACTCCCTCCGGTTCACAATAAGTGACCAATTTGCTTTTAGCACGCCCATTAAGAAAATACTAAATTCTATACAAAAATACCTACTATGACTAAACTACCCCTAATTAAACATTTAATGTGAGGAGTAAGAAAACTTTTTAGGGATATCTACATAGGGGTTATTTTGTAAAAACAAATTGAATTCTTTCTTGATTACATAACTGGACACTTATTTTGAACCAAAATGAAAAAGCAAATTAGTCACTTATTGTGAACCGGAGGGAGTATAACAAGTAGCAGTTTCTTTTTTTTTTTTTAAAACAATTCTAAAGGATATAGAGTTACGGAAATAATGTAAATGATGTTTCTTTACTTCAGATGGATTAATGATTTTGATCTGCAGGGCGGTCATATAATCTTTTTCCAAAGTCTCAGTCTGCTGGGTTACTGTCTATTCCCACTTGATGTTGGTGCCCTTATTTGCATGCTAAAGGACAATGTGATCTTGAAGGTGGTTGTGGTATGTGTTGCACTAGCTTGGAGCTCTTGGGCTGCATACCCCTTCATGAGTACCGCTGTGAACCCTAGGAGGAAAGCTCTTGCCCTGTATCCTGTAGTACTCATGTATGTATCTGTTGGATTTCTCATTATTGCCATTGATTGATGTCAGTCATACCTATTATATTAAAGTTGTATCCAGCTTGATAGAAGGACATTGAAGTGGGGATATAATGTGTTGGACATTTTGATTACCTCAAGAAATTTTGTTGATATTTTTGGTACTGTATATCTCACACTTTGTATTGCTGTCCAAGAAATGTCATATACATCTAGCTATGTCTGGTGTTATCTTGTAAGGTTGAAATACAGTCTTCACTGTAAAAGAGATCTGTTATCAGTATGCCTTGACAAAGAGATGTATTAATGGTCTCTGTATTTCACTATTTCATGGATGTCAATGCCTTTGAGCACTATGGTTATGTACTAGTGTCGTTAGTGCAATGTGTCAACTTCTTTTTTCCCTAGTTGATTTTCTCCAGGCAGTCATGATTAAAGAGGTAAAGGGAAGCATTTTCTACTTTTTCATTGAATAATAGAAGGGTAGCAAAGTCTATAGAATCATAAACCAGTATTTATAGTTGCAACACTTCAACGAATACAAGAGTGCAGCATAATTTCTCGATATTTCTATAACTCTTTTGTTTCTAATTTCATTTTTTGCTTCTCCAATGATTTTTGTTCGGATCATGATTTTTATTTGGAGTCTTCGTGTGCTTGCAAATTTGAACTGGGTTTGGATCTAGTTGCTCACAAATTTGAACTGGGTTTGGATCTAGTTGCTCACTCGTCATCGTTGTTGTTGTTGTTGTTGTGAGCAAGCTTCTGTTTTGAACAAAAATAAAGCTACATGTTTGTGAAAAGAAGTTGGTGCTCAATGGATTTACAACGCCCGCTGAAAACCATAGATATTGCTTACTTGAACACGCTGATAATTGCGAGGAAATCCACCTGCCATCCTGAAAACCATAGATGTTGCTTTACAGTAAATATTGAGTTTATCTCCATTGCTATGTTTTTTTTAGATAACGAAGAAATCCGTTTCTTACCCTAGTTATAAAACTCAATGGATGATAAGCATGTTCATCTACATTTGTTCAGCTAAGTATTACGGTTTAGGGTTTAAGGTTTACATGTAATGATTCAAACTCACAACTTATGCCTACCACACACCTAGCTAAACTAAATTATTAATTTATTTACCCCTAGATGTTATTACTTAATTATATTCTCATATAAAAATAATAAATTATAAACAAATTAGTGAGAATCTGCTTTCTTCCCCACTAGAATTTCAATATATTTTGTATCAAACTCGCAAACCAGTACCAGTCTCCATTATTCAGCCTCCTTATGGACCTCAACAATGTTGTAAAGGATAGAGGGGTTCTGGGAGCCATGTATAGAAGGAACATTAGATTGCGAAGAGACTAGCTGTACAGGAAACGAAGAGATTGTGCTTCTCATAGGAAAAATCTGGTCTTGGATTTTCTACTGGACGCTAGTTCTACTGCCAAAAACTTTTTCCTTTAACTTCCAAAGCAAAAGCAATCAAATTGAAATAGAAACCCTGTTAATCATTAAAAATTTCACTGACAGCCATTAAAAAATTTCGAAGCTTTGAATTTGAAAATCAAATTTTGCGAAATTATTATTTGTTTGAATTAAGTGTTGTTGCAAATGCTTGAAAATATCCTTGGAGTTTATAACTCAATGTTGAGAGAATTTGGTAAAGATTCGAGTTTGTTTTGGTTGGAATTTCAAATTAAAACTCGAAGAAGAAAACATAAATAAAGGGATAAATTCAAAATTACCCACACAACCTAAAATATTTACCCGCTTCTACCTATTCCAAACTATTTACCCGACCCTACGCATCCCCAATTCCACTTAACTTAAACACTTGTTTGCAAAAAGAATGTTCGGCATTACTATCAAAAAGACGAATCAAGCTTTACGTGGCCAATGACTCTTCGGAATCGCGACATAATTGTTGAGAGGTTCGACAATTATCTCTTTGATCAAGGTTATTAATTTTTAAATTTTGTGGAACTACCAAACCCACTTCAAAACAATTCTAAACGAACTTAAGCTTCAATGTTAATCCTTACAAGCTTTTTTAACAAGCTTTGATAATACTCATCACAATTCAAAATCCAATTAACTATATTAAGCTTTTAATTCTCAAATCAAAGCTTCAAAGCTTCTTCATTGGTGGACAATTTTTATTTTTTTTATTTTTAATCAACAAAATTCAGACTATTACTACGATTTTAGCTTTCCACAATAGTACCCAAGTGATTTAACAAATAGCAGCTGAAGTATACTATTATAGTATATTGTATAATATTACAACATATTATTATAGTATATTGTATATTACAGTATACCGTTGTAGTACAGTATACTAGTGGAGTATAGTTGTATGGTATATTATATACTGTAGCAATATAAGCTTTTAATTCTCAGACCAAAGCTTTAAATCTTCTAGGTGGACAATTTTTTTTTCTTTCAATTATTAGCAGGCAAATTCAGACTATTACCACGATTTTAGCTTTCTACAATAGCACCCAGATGATTTAACAAATAGCAGCCTAAGTATACTGTTGTAATATATTGTATAATATTACAATATATTTTTATAGTATATTGCATATTATTACGGTATACCATTACAATATATTATATACAATTACTGTATACTGTTGCAGTATAGCTGTATATTGTATACCATAACAGTATACTATTGGGTAACTATATTCTTCTTCAAATTTAAGCTGAAAAATTCATTCTCAAGTACCTCAAGCTAGCTCCAAATGCGACCAAATTTTATTATGAACTTCCTGAAGGAACTATAAGCAATATTTTACAGCACCCACTTCGAATTAAACATCGAATCTTCAAAATAAAATTTCAAATATAGGAGCTTCAAGCTCAACAATGGTGGGTCTTCAAATAAATACAAAAAATTTGATCCGGGAGCTTAATATATAACCACAACAATACATGAGTTCAGAAATATAAATAAATACACAAAAAGAAAGCATTCGAAAAATATAGTTGTATTGGGTGATACCCTTTTTTGCTTGAGCCCGGCTGGGTTGGGTCCGGTCCGGGGCAAGTCGGGGCCATCGAACCCGACCTGGATGCAAGGTAGAACGACGGCCACGTCTACAACCGAGGTCGAGTCATTTCGAGACCGTTGCAGAGCTCGGTATGAGTCACCACCGGATGGAGAAACACACAAGGTCGGAAGCCGGACTCGTAACGGATAACCAAGCGTCGCCGGATATCTCGCCCAAACGTGATTTTCTCAACCACTTCAGGCCATTAAGGCGTAATTACAGGGATCCACGATGTAATTAATTTACCTACCTTATTTTTACCCTTAATCAGAATGTATAAAAGGGGAGAAGACCCCATAAAGAGGGCATGAAAAACCATTACACTACAGTACCATCTCTCTCAATTCTTGTACGCTATCAAGCACAATTGTTTTAAGCAATATTATATTCTGCGATTATTTACTTTAACAGCAATTGTTGAGTCTTTATCTTTTATTTTCCTCAACCTAAACCTTTTGTATCTTTTAGTTCACGGATCCTTAAAACCCCATATAAATTCAATTGTTATCCGGATTCTAGGGTAAACAGTTTGGCGCCCACCGTGGGGCTAAGGATATTAGTGAGCTCTTTGATACTCTTTCTTGACGCATCACAATACACTGGTTCTTTGCAAAAGAGTCCATCTTGCATTCAAATTACCAATTCATAGAATGGCACAATCAATCAACAACGAACTTGAACAGCAGACAGGAAACAATGGAATGCCCGGGCTCGAAAACCCGATAGATGCCGGTTCCCGGATGGCGCTCAACACTGATCAGGCCTCCGGATCATCACATAGCGTCCGGGGAGAGGACGATTCGAGGGCCCAGGCAGTCGGCGAAGAGACTATCAACCTTAAAATGATTTTTGACATGCTGCAAGCCCAGCAATCGGCTATAGCTCAGCTCCAGAGCCGGGTCCAGGAGCCTGTCAGGTCCGAGGAGGCTCCCCGTGCAGCTGCAATCATCAATCCGACCCCAGTACAGCCGGAACGGGGTGGCCGGATGCTGATTCTGCGGTTCTTAGGAGGCTAGAAGAATTGACCGAACGAATCGAAANGAAACATATGAAATTCAAAGATAAGATACAATCCATTCCAAAACCAGGGTGTCACTGAGTGCATGAGCGTTAGGGAAATACATAGTCTATTACAATATCTAAAGGAGCAACTGAAATACAACTGGAGAATAAGAAGGAGCCAAGGCCTGTGAACGTCGTGCAGATACCTCAATAATCTCCTAAGCCTGAAGCCTCGAATCAACAATCGCCACTAGGTCCAAAAGTGCCTGAATTTGCACACAAGGTGTAGGGGGTAACGTGAGTACACCAACTCAGTAAGAAGGAGTCCAAACTATGGACTAAATGGTAGTGACGTACTCAACCTCAACAGATATAATAGAAACAACGTACAGAAACGTAGTATCTTTTATTTTCCTCAACCTAAACCTTTTGTATCTTTTAGTTCACGGATCCTTAAAACCCCATATAAATTCAATTGTTATCCGGATTCTAGGGTAAACAATAGTACTGATACAAAAAGAGAAATTTGAGATATACTAATATAGAAAAAGAATTTTGAAGTGAAACTCATGTAAAATAATATGAAAACTTGTCTTTTAAAATAAATATAGAAATTCTTAAAAAAAATAAAATTGGGAAAATGCATGGCTTTGTACTGGTTTTTCATCATCCACTAAAAAACCTAAACTATGAGTGTTTTTCAAAGAGGAAGGGAACATTTGAGTGTGGGACTATGCTGTTTAGAGAAATTGAAAAGGAAAAGGAAATTAGGTAGGCCGGATAAATAATTGTGCCGCATAGACAGGAAAAGTAAATCCTTTTAGCTTGAATATAAAAGGGTAAATAGTTTGAGGTTAATGGGCATAAAGTGATAATTCCGCCATAACTTTGGCGTTTCATGTTGCTAGATCTTGTTTAATTGTTGGAGATTAATTCAGAAGTAACCACTTACAGAAGTGGTCTCCTTTTTTTTTTTTTTGGTGTGTGTGCTACTTATTTTTTAATTTCCTTCTCTTTGTAAACTTGCAAAATCCATATTTATATATATTCTAAGTACTTGTGATCTACACTAAGAACATGTCTAGCTATAAGGAAGTATTAAGTAAGATAGGTTTCATAACATGTTAGTATCTTATATGATTGAAAAACAAGTAACATAAGTTATATGTGTCTAATTAAACTTTGATAATTCATATTGGCATGTTCAAATTAGTAACCATTATATCCTAGATTGTATCTTTTGGTTTCCCTTTTTGTTACGGGGCTTTTGCATTTACACTCGGTTTTGGGGTCACAATTAAACCTATACCCGCCTCG